TTAGTACAGTGTTCATTGAAGTGTAAACAAAGTTTATGCCAATTGCTAATCCAAGCAATGTGGAGGTTTTCTTGCCATGGAGATCAATCAATATTTACTTCCTAACCTCTAAATTTGGGACGTCCACTAGGAATAATCCAAGGGGTTTTTAATTACATTCAAAAGCCTTTATGTTATCCAGATTCATTATCTTCCTTTTTGTATCATTTCAGTCCTGTCAGTTCTGTGGTTTTTGCGTTTATAGACTACCTATACAGTATATTTGTTTTGCATGACCCCAAAAGTCAACAAAGAACTGTTTTTTAACATTCTTGTTTATTTTTGGGGCCTTTTGTATTTATTATGTTGCCATTTGAGATTAAAAGAAGTAATACTGTCAATAGTTTTTGTAATAGGTTGAAAAAATTGTTACAAGTGATAATTCGTAACAGTTTTTACGAATAAAAGTGATACTTTGTTACTTAAGAATATTTAAAATAAAATCTTATGTTTTCAACTTGTTAAGTTGTATTATGTTTTTAAGTAGTTTGTTTTTATTACTTACATCTCAGGCAATCAGATATTTAGGTTTTGTTTAAAAAATATACCTATATTATTTGATTTAACTCTACGGGTAGGAGCAGGAGTGACAATTTCACTAACGGACTGATTAGACAGAAATAAATTCATTATTCATTCATATCCCAAATTCAATGTAGTAAACAACATGTAACGTTGTTCTAAATGTAAAATTGACTAGTGCATCTTAATATTTTCCATAGTGTATTAATGGATCCGCCTCGCTCCAGTGAAAGACTTGAAAGGCGGGAAAGGCTACTTTGATGGTCACGTAACGTCCTCTTGTCATTATCAGACTTACCTGTATGATCGATATTTGTGGCGACATTCATAGAGAGAGCCTTTGACTGTGCATCATGATTGTAACTCACCGTCGTAAATATCTATAACATCTATACTTGGCTTCTTCACCTCTACAAAGTCACTAATGAAAAAGGAAAAGTATTGAGTAAACCCACAGTAAAATGTACCTGCGTTAATTTGTCTTATAGTTTTAAAACCAGATTACGTAATCCCCGATGCTAGGGCACATTCTTTAAAAAATCGGATTTAGAAAACTGGTATTTGAATAACAATAAAATTCATAACAGCATAGTTAATATCACGAATTCTAGAAAAGACCTGGTATGGATCATAAACATAAACAAATGACGTTTTTGGTACGAGAATAAACAAAACCATATGTTAATTAATGTTATTAGTATATGGGTTTTGTTTACTTTCGGACCAAAAGCGTAATTTGTTTATGTTTATGACCCATACCAGTATTTTTCTAGTATTTGTGGTTAATATTATCCGTGTTGTATCTATATACTTATTTAATACGCAAGCAGGTTTTTTGTGGCAATTACTCCTCCGCAACTACTGAACCGATTGACACGTTTTTGGTGTCATTGGAAAGAGCGTAACGTGAAGTTATGCAGGAAACTTTCTTTTTAGGAAAATAAATAGAGAACGAGGCCCTGGAGCCCTTTAAAGTTTCGTATTTCTCCATAAGATTAACATGGAAAACAAAAATTGTTATGAAACTCCAGATGTTTTCAGAAATCAAAAGTGTGAAGAAGAGCATATTTTATCAGTGAATAAGTTTGCTAATTTAACAGTTTGCTAAAAATATTTGCTGACTTGGTTGAAATTTGTTTTAAAATAACACCTGTAATACTTATCAATTGCTCGAATTCGAGCAACAGGGAAACTAGTAATATAGAAAATCGTTGCTTTCAAGTAATCCTATAAAATTATGAATTAGGATGAACGATGAAAATTCAAAAATAAAGTAATGAATAAATTACGAGTAAAAGATTGTGAAGTTTTACAATCATATTTCTTTTAAAACAATTGTTACAAAGAGTTTACGAAACATTATTGTTAATATCACTTTAAAAAGTTATAATGGGTCGAGAAACACAACACAAAGCAACGTTACATTAGTTTATTCAACAATAATATTGATACAAATCCCTTAATAAATAACACCAAATATTATACATCGGAATATGTTTCACACTAACATTTCTGTGCCAAAAATAGAAAGTCCCAAGTCACACATGTACAAAACTGTAAATACAACACGTGACAAATATACAAAACGTTACTATACAATGTACAAGAACATATACAAATAACATTGGATTGTATATCAGTCGTTAATTATCAAGTATACATAGTATGACATTACAAATTAAACGGTAATAGGTGAAGTATCAACTATACTTGTAGGAGTTTATACATATTTGTAGTGAATAATACTTTAAAATGACCGTAAAAATGGCGAAACAGATATTATGATTCAAAGATGACTAGGGTGAGATTACTAGTGTTTAATGGCAAAGCCAAACATATAATTCCATTATGCGTTGGTGTTTGTAAGCATTTTATTGTCAAAGGATTCATCCTCATGTTTTTCTAGTTCTGTTCAAAGGTTGCTTTATGGTTAGTTAATTTTAGGTAAACTTGGTAAATGTTCGCTATATTTTGAACAACAATATAATATGGACGTTATGTACTGTATTAGAAAGTTTAACACGTTTTAACTACAACTGTGGACAGTATATTATGTAGCTATTTAATTATAAAAACAAAATAATAAATAAAATATGTTATTGGTAGTTTTATAAGCCTCATAAAGGTTTTAAAGTATATTTTACGCTCTTAAATGATTTGTTAATATTTATGACAATTTAAAATTGTAAATAAAACTGCTTATGCCTAAATGGACAACCAAGTTTTTCGATAAAGACTTGCTACTTTAAGGATTTTTGTTTACAATTGATTGTGTCAATCTTCTGATCTTGGGTGATTGTGATTCCGCGATTCTGAATCTGTTGGTTTTGTTTTACTGGAAAGGCACTTAAACAAACTCGATGTTTTCATCAGATAAGAGTGTATACACTACAAGCAAGAGAGTATATAGTTTGGTCGTATAAGTATTTTTTATTTATTTTCTAATAAACCAAGATCTCCAAGTACTTGGTGGATATCCATTGTTATAAACTTGTAAAGTTATGTTTGTAAATATTGTGTTTATGTACAGGAAGTCTATACTAACAGAGCTCATAGATATTTAAAGTACAGACGAGAATATTCTTTGTTTAATGCCTCTTTCTCAATGGAAACAACATTTTAAAACAAAATTATAACCATGTCTGAAAAAATAAAGTTAATTGGTGTTTATTGAGTATGTTTTAATCGAAAACATTTTTATTAAGAGTGTCATAACCTTTTAAGCTCCATCTAGAGTTAATAAGTAAGTACTAAAAAATTTAAAAACCCAATGATACATATTTTTATACTCGAAATACTACATTGACACACATTAAAAATAATGAACACAACGAAAGATTAAAATTTGAAATGCTTTGGAATTTTATTTGTACACCGTATAAAGGTCGTATACAAATTATGGAAACTGTACACCAATAAATTTATACTGTGTAACACCTTTGTATATAATCTAAATTGTAAGTGTATAATGTAAGTGGATAGATATTTTTTTAAATAGTTAGAAGACTGAGGTCTTATTTAGTTCAATTAACACGGTTTATTAAGTTTATATCTTTTGGTTAAAACAATCGGTATATACTGTTAATGCAATTTTAATATCGGTTTGTCTGTATGTCTTAGTAGCCTTACAACTACATTTATCAACATTCAATGATCATCCCTAGAAAATAATTTTGTTACTCAATATTAATCTTCGGCCAGTTACACTCTTGACCAAATATTAATTTAACCATTACTCCATAATGATTTCAAAAAAAATTTTGCTTTAAAATGAATCTTCGCAGAAAATCAATCAAAGTAATTGTTTGTTGCTTTTTATTTTATTTATTTTTGTTCTCAACCACATGCAAACAATTTAACTGTAACTGTGTCAATTTTATATTAATTTATTTATTTCAGTGGTTTTCATTTTGTTTGAAAACATTTATTGTAACAATTAAGAATGTTCAAAGATTAGCTAAATTCTATTTAACATTTCCTCTTTAAAGACAAACATTTAGTAAACATAGCGCGTCTAGGAATGAATAAACAATTTGACTCTAGTCATAGACAAAAAGAATTGCTCTAATAAACAAATTGAAACTACGTTTAGCGATGTTCAGAAAAATCATACCCATAGTATGACTTTTGGCTTATAACTAAAACATTCGGAATCACTTGATTCTATAAAACAATTTGAGACAGCAATTATACTTCAATTTAAGAAACACTGTGCATGGTTTCCAAAGCGAACATGAAAGAAAAGAAGTTAAACTGACATTGTAACTTAGTTGTTTGGAAAATCATTCATTGTTCTCAGAATACACATTCATTTTGGTATATGACACACACACACACGAGGTAGGGTTGGAATTTGATACACCTTTGATCAAAGGATCTGCCTTATGAAGGATACACAATTTTGTATTATGCCCATAACAGTGTGTGGGGACTCTTTAATCTTCTGCTACATGGATAATTCAAGATTTCAGATAATTAATGAACAGTTATAAACTTCCGACCGTATTCACCCTCAATTAATTCAATTAATCGTTGTAAACCATAAAACCATTAAAACACACAACGATTTTGAATATTAATGTTTTAGAGAATATCTTAGTTCTAGCGCTTAACCTGCATAAGCGTAGATTTTTGTGGTCAGAATGGAATCTAATAACGTTGTTCACAATATAACCTTTAAATCTTAATTCAATTCATATATATTGAGTTTAGTTTCTTGAATTTCTAATAAAAAGAATACTTAAAATGAGTTTGTCTTAGGTAACGAGACTAAATTACTATGGGTACATTATTATACGTTTCTTAACAATATGTTTCTCTTTGTAAGGACTCAAACTTAATGCTCAACCCTCAGCAAGAGAGCATCAAATTTTAGGATGCCTACAGTTTATACATTCCTAAAGAGGCATTCTTTATAATTCACGCTAAGGAACCTTATCTAAAAGTCCTTCCCAGGATTCTGAAAACAAGAAAAGTCCTTCCAGTATAAATCCTTGAGCATCCAAACCTATTCATAAAACCCGATTTCAGATGCAGTTCTAAGTTTTTCACAGAACCAGAAGATTCTCACACGATCTTGCCTTCCTCTTGATGCCTAACAGATGTTTGATGATTCTTCTTCCGCTTCCGTAGCGTTTTTGCCTCTTCTTCCTCTTTTGGACATCTCTTTCCCTCTTCGGATTTAGTTTGACTTGTGCCAAGATCCCGACCAGGAGTTCGTCCACATTGTGATCCAATCCGCTGGAAGTCTCGATGAATTTGCATCCGCAGCTGTTCGCAAGCTTTCGTCCAACTGGGAACAGGGAGGATTTTGTTAAGATAAAAGATGACGAATTATTGAAATTCATAACAATACCTAGCTAATTTAAGCTGGTTATTTGTCCTAAGTCCCTGATAAAGGTTGAGTGATATATTTTAAAATATATAAACAAATAAACTAAGTATTTTTTAAAAATTTCTTGAAAATTTAACCCATGATAAAAGCATAGTTTCAGTTTTGTATGATAATCCTATGTACATTGCGTAGTAGTTTAACGCATAATACAACATTTAGCTCTATTTGGGCTACTGATTTATAGGAACAAAGATTGTTAAGATTGTTTCCAACCACACATCAGTACGCTCCTCGTGACAAGACAAAAATATAAACAGAATAGTTTTATCGACAGGTTTTAGAATAAAATGGTATATCTGCCTGGTTACAATAATTAGTCGTAACAGTTGTTTACCCAAGAGAGGAGTTGATAGCCAAGAAGAAAGACCTTTCAATTGGGTTAGCTTGAGGTCACCAATTTGTTAGAAGACCGCCTGCTGCCGAGGCAATAATCACAATCTTCAACAGACTGGCGCCGATGCTGACAAATAGCTTTAGTGTTTGAAGGACAATTTAATATGAGTCAAACTAATAATTTCTTATGGAAAAAATCAGAGAAAAATAAAAAAAAACCTACAGAATAAGCAAATTTCCATTTGCCTGATAAGAATTACACCATAATATCTCCTTAACAATTGGATTACTTAGAAACTTCATGTTAAGTTCTTTACCTGCCGTCGGTATCTCCCGCTTCCTCTCCAGGTCCGCCTTGTTCCCCACCAGGATGACGCCGCGGGTGGTCATGTAGTCGTTCTTCCAGAGAAACAGCAGGATGTCCTCGGCCACCTTGAAGCTCTTGCGTTCCACCACGGAGTACACAACCACAAACACGTCCGGGTTGTAGGTCAGACAGAACGTCTCCACCTGGAAAACACCAATTGTGTCTTGAATGAATAGGACAAGGTGTAAAAGTTTGGAATGGTAAAAGAAATAGCCCGTGATGTAAGAAAAAAAAAAAAAAATACACCAATCAGCTATTCTTTTTAGATAGTTCTTAACAATGGATAAACCAAACAATTATTTAAGACATCATGCTCTTGGAATGAGATAATCTGTGTAGAATCGGGAAAAAAATATCCAGCTGTTAAAGGCTCAATCTGGTGTCATAATGAATAATTCACAATCCAATCAGGTGCCTAATATCATTGACTATTGGATGTATTAATAGTCAAAGCTAATATCCAAACTGATAGAAATTAACTGTGTACCCAAGTAGATATGAAGCTCGCCTTTAAATCGGAGAGTTTGATTGTTTAATCCTGAGTGAGAATGATTTAGGACCCAGCTGGCAATTGTCATTGGGTAAATAATCAACGGTACTTTCTGACAAAATGTCGATGTCGATGATATAGTAGAAAAACTAGAATTCAGACTATTACCTTAAAAATGAATAAAAGGGTTTCTGCCTTAAAATGCACGAAAAATTCAATACCGTGGCTGGATAAGTTTTATGCTTTTGTATACTCGAAAGTCTACAAACAATTTGTTCAAAACATAAGTTCTACATGAAACAGCTAAAAAATGCACGTGTACAAATTTTCATAATGTAGAGAACCTACGTTTTTTTAACACAATTTTAAAATGGGTTTCAAATATCTTTGAATTTAATTGGAAAGTGGTTTAGAATGTATCCACTAAATTTAGATAACGGCTTGGCTTAGAAACTTTGTAGAGGTGTTCAATGAAAGGGGTTAAAAAAGTCCTCAAATATTTGGGATTTCCTTGACTTCGAGCAACAGGTAACCTAGTTTAGATAAATTCTAATTTAAGTTTAGTCGTATGGTTTGGACGTAAAATCAAAATCTTGGATGATCGTTTCAATCCAACCTGTTAATAGGTTAGAACAATATCCCTAAATTATATTTTGGATGCCGTAATATTTAGTCTCAAACTCCCAGAATTAACAACTATTATCATTTTACAGCTTAATACAGTTCAACTCAGTATGTGGGACAATGTAAAATTTGTACAGAAAAATCATTTGGTACAATGTAAAACAGTAACATTCAGATCCAATTAGGAAAGTGTGCACTTTTCACACAGGCTGAATATCAGAGTTTCAATATTCCAGGAATATGTGAGGTTTTACATTGTTCGACTTTGACCATCATTACTTATAATGAAATACGGTTTACATTTAGTTAGGTTTACTATTTCTTGCAAGTTAATAAGTTGGTCCTACGTAGGATTGAATCTGGACAAAATTCGATTTGTCTTACAATGTAAGGTGATCTTACATATTTATGTCATTAAAAGATTGAGTGAATTTTATTGATATTTTAAATCTCAACAAGCTTTAATTTAATTTATGTAATTATCAATTGAAGGGATGTTCATAAGAAATCTTACCTTATGTACACTATGAAAACAGAGAGTAGTATATGCAAACAAATTTTAAAACAAAACATGACATACTGTATTTATATCCAAATCAATCAAAAACGTAATTTCCAGTTAAAATTGAGTACAAGCAATTTAAACGAATACTTACTAATTGTAATCTAATTTTAAAGATAAATACCCTTCAATTTTGGTCTTATTCACCACAATAGCCTGACGGTAAATTATTCATTCGCGCAAACGCGGCTCCTTTGCATGAATGAAGTCGATCGAGACTCTGTCTTTGACCACAATACGTTAATAATGCTTTATTTATAGACGATCCTCTTAGGGGAATACTGCTTTTGCTGCTCTTCAACGGAATTTCAGCTCTTTCGGTGAATTTCGCTTTCAGAGCGAACAGAACGTTTGAAAGCACTTAAAATAGCCAGTAACTACCCCATAAATGAAGCGTGCTGTACTGTAGTTTGTAATATAATTTTATATTTTCATTACGTAAAACATGAATTTGTTGGTGAATTCATTAGAAATCCTTTTTCACTCAGTGATAACACGTCGATACTCTACAAGAAGTATGAAGTGGCTAGTTTAATGCAGTTTTTATTGTAAAGGGAAGTTGAATATTTTCATTTCATGAGTTTGACTAAATCTACAAGCAAAACATTATCCTAACTTATTGGAGGATTCTAAGGCTTATAATACATGAATATTAGAACAGGAACATCATGGATCATAAATGTAATTAATTAAGTCACTGGCCCTAAATTGAGCATGTTTGCATCATTAAGAAGTGTAAAAAAACATCTAAACCGTATGTCAATGTTTTTAGTATAATATATGGACCAGTGACGTGATTTGTATGTATTATAGATTCATACAGTTTATGTCGTAATATCCACGCTATGTTGAATGCATGGAGATATTAAATGGAAATGTAATTAATTTTGGGGCGAAATATGCTAGGCTACACCAATAATTTATTTTTGTAAAAAAATACAACCGACTTCAAACGCTCTAAAAAGAATGAAATAATTTCAATAAAGTTAACTTTTGTATTAGGCAAGCTCACGTATTTAAAGTCGGCGCGGCTCTATGATGATTTTTGATACAAAATTTAAAGAGGGTGTCCATATTGCAGGTGACTATCTATAACTAAAGGTGTTAATCTGCATGTCTTTTTCATAGTTATGCGTTAAGTGTTATTTTATTACCGTAATCAGAGATCGGCATTATAGTGGTATTAACGAGTATCTTTAAAAATATTATAACCCATTTAAATGTTTCTAAGTTGGAAAAGTAACGTTTTAATACTAAACTAGCTTCTTTTCCCTATCATAATATCAAACTAAATTATTTTCCTATTCATATAGAACATTTGTGTGTGTTATTTTCATAATGCATTTATTCTGAAGTAAACATAAAATACAAGAAAATATTTCCTTTAATATATAAACAAACAGTTCAGTATGTTTTTTATATATTTATGTTATCCAGCTACAATTTATAGATTTTCAAAATACACACACAATATTTAATTTCAATCATATTTGCAGTTTGAGCCGCGCCGACTTGAAAATACGTGAGCTTGCGTAATACAAAAGTTTACTTTATTGAAATTATTTCATTCTTTTTAGAGCGTTTGAAGTCGGTTGTATTTTTTTACAAAAATAAATTATTTCATGATTTTTAGTGACTGTATAATTTTTTATGTATTAATTACTTGAGGTTTTTTGATAAGCAAAACTGTTTGAAACAATCAAAAGTTCCACAGAACAATCATTATTTTAAAACTGCTTGAGTCACCTGTTCAGGTTACATAATCAATGGGTATGAAAATAAACATTTTTAGATATTCCTTAAGAAAGAAAGAGTTGTCCATTACATTAGGCCTAATGAAAAACTAATTGTCTTTTCTAGATACATTGAAATGTCAGACATCATCGTTTCCTGCAATCGGTGCACTTCTACATTATAAAAAGTAATACAGTAACGTCTCAAGCCTTTTGGAACAATATGAAAGTTATTCCTCAGCTACCAGCACTAAAAATCTCTCAAAAGTAGAAAATTTGTCGTTAACACGTATTGTACCTTTGGAAAATATTATATGAAAGATTGGTTCAGCTAAAAGTGGTGTAAGTCATGTAGGGGGTTTTGTTTGCTCAAGATATAGCCTAGTCGAAATTACAAATCATCTTCCTCTAGGAATTTCCGAAGCAGGCATGATAGTATTGATATGTTATAGTAACTGGGTAGAGAATATTAATAAACATTCCACATCTGCAAATGAAATATGTATATGAAAGATTGGTTCAGCTAAAAGTGGTGCAAGCCATGTAGGTGGTTTTGTTTGATCAAGATATAGGCTAGTCGAAATTGCAAATCATCTTCCTCTAGGACTTTCCGAAGCAGGCATAATAGTATTGATATGATATAGTAACTGGGTAGAGAATATCAATAAACATTCCACATCTGCAAATGCATGTTTAGTAATTAAAATATTTAACACTTTTAAGAAAATTGACGATTATGCACTGTCACACTTCTTAGGTCGTGTAATATAATAATTGCATTTAATTTATATTTAGACCTGTTTTACGAATGCTTTGGTTTTCACAATACACCTTTATTTGTCAATATCATACAGCTATTCACTGAAACATATATGTTTTTGTAAGTCAGAATATTCAATACTAAAAACAGAATTACTGTATACACAAATCAGGTCAAACGTTAAAATACATTTTTTATAGTAACCAAAACAAAATGCATTTTTCTCAATGTAATTCATTTAGGCTCCATGGCAAGAAATAGTTTATTGATCAATATGAAGCAACTGTTTCATGAAGAATTGTCTGTAGCTTCATTTAAATGGTTTCAACTAACAGCTGTAGGAATGTTATTATTATTTATTGCCTTCTCTGCACAAATGTAAACAATCTGCACAAATGTAAACAAAATAAATGTTGAATATTTAAGGTTTTCAGAATTTTTCACCGAAACAAATATTATACTTAAAGATAATATATAAGGTACCAAATAGAAACTCTCCTGGTTATTTTGGTGGTGGAACCACACTGATCGGTAAAAGAATCACAGAGAAATTGGTGAACATACATAGAAAAAAAAAAACATCGCCACAAACAAATTGAGAACCTCCTCCTTTTGTTGGTAGCGGGGAAGTCGGTTAAAAAGAAAATATATGTTTCGCCTAGTAATCAGAATGTCACCATATGAATCTTGAGAAAAGTCAGTAAATTTTGATAGCTCATATTTGACCCAGCTGTTTTTGATCGTTTTGGACTAAAATGGTAAGAAAGACTAACGGGCAAAGAAAAAGCTCATAAAGCATTCCTATCTCAGTTCAAAATGTGTTATATCATTCAATAAACACTGATTCTCCACTCGTATTCACTTTAAAACTCTTACCACAGTCTGGTGTTGTAATAATGGAATGAAAAAGAAAATCAAACATATTCCTAGCTGTCCTCACTTGATGTCTCAATGTACTTTTCAAGTATTTGTAAATTTAGTATGACGGCAGCACTTGAAAGCTATACAAGATATAAAAATCTTCAAAAATAACATAAAATAAGAAACATTTCTTAGCCTTGTATATTATTATTGCTATCAATATTGGTGGTAAAGTTTCTACACATAATGTCAACATTGCGAGGCTTGAGTCCCTACTAAGTAGACGTTTTGTGATCTCCTGAGTCGCATGAATTAACTAAACCCATTGTAACCCTGTTTGATAATGGAGGAGTGCTCGAGGCAACGCGCTAGAACAGAATAGTTTACCAGCTATTAGGAACTCCTCATAACAATGTTTTCATTCTTATAGTTACTACGAAAATTTGTGTTTTCAATATTGTACCTATATAACATTTTAAAAAAATAAAAAATTTTTAATGATATTTAAATTAAAATTTCAGAAGGGGACTATTGTTGCCCATCTTTGACCAAACGTAGATCATAATGGTTACGTATTTAACGTCATATAAGAGACTAAAGTAAATCTACTCTCAAAACTTTATGTTTGATATACATACATCTGTTGTAGTATACATGTTTTACACAGACAATCTTCTATGTAAAAAGCTAACAAGAAGCTGTACTTTTGAGAAAACCACAAGCTGCACACCTGTCAACCACATATTTGAATGAAAGGTCTTGGCGTTAAACTTTCCCTAAATATATCGATATTTCGATTAACCCTCTCCTAAGGGTGGGAACCTCGATTTGATTGTTGTATTTAATCACATTGAAATTATTGAAGATTCATCAGCTGTTGATTTCATTTGGTTTTAGCATTTTTAGTTTGTTTGTTTACTTTTTCTTGAAGAATCATCAAGTTAACCTAATGATTCTACCATAGATTTCTATATTGCATTAAGAGAAGTGACAGTCAGTTTTTCTTATAATGTGGTATAGTGTTCAAACCTTTGAATAATGTTTTAATTGTTTATTAGTTCAGTATTATATATTTTAAAACACAGCATTTGATGTTGCAGACGTTGTGTATACAATTAAGTGACACAAGAACCATAGAGTTTGGACGGAGCCTATGTGTTCCAACTGGGGAAAAAGGCATCTGTGGAGCATTTTTCCTTGTAACATGGACATTGATAAAATTGATTTTCATCAAGAACAAGCGCTTTTTCATCAAGATTGATTAAAATCAGCAGTTTGCATTGGCCAAGGCGGTAAAGAATCGCCATCTCTGCGTTCTCTTCCCGTGGCTGCACGGGCAGAACATTTAGTAAAAATAAAAATTGGTTCAAAGCTTCAATTAAATAGACTGTATCTGGAGAAAAAGTGCTCTCAGTAAGGAGTGGTACCGAGATTACAATTGAGAGTTGATTTTTAGGTAAACCTTTAATTGCTACTATGCGACTTATCTACGTGATTTTTTAGTTACTCACCGACATTTCCGATGACGGGTGATCGATGATTTCTAGCTCAGCTTCTTGTCCGTCCAGTAGAACACTGACTGTCTTCTGGCCAAACTCTTCATCTGAAAAATCAACACATTTCGAGTTGAAAAATGATCAATAGCACTGGATATAATCTCTCATGTCAAATCCGTCCATCTGAATGGAAGATGGATAGAAATCATACCTCACAGGTTTATTGTAAACAGGTGCCTGCGGCGCATATTAAGAGTGTTCTGGCCAAACACTATCTCAAATGAGCGGTTATGGGAACACTGACCGTCTTCTGGCCAAACTCTTCATCTGCAAAATCAACACATTTCGAGTTGAAAAATTATCAATAGCCCTGGATATAATCTCTTCTCAAATCTGTCCTTCTGAATGAAAGATGGGTAGAAATAATACCTCGCAGGTTTATTGTAAACAGGTGCCTGCGGCACATATTCAAACTGTTCTGGCCAAACACTATCTCAAATGAGCGGTTATGGGAATGCACAGTGCAACAAAAGATAGACTTAGAGAGTCGAAGGAGGAAGTGGAGGTGGCTAGGGCACACCCTTTGAAATCCCGAGCCTGCCATTGAGAAGAAGGCGTTAGAGTGGAACCCGTAAGGGACACGAAAGAGAGGAAGACCTTGCGGCATCTGGGAAAGACCGGTGGAGAAGGAGGCTGTGATTATAGGAAGAACTTGGGGTCAACTGAGGGATCTGGCACAAGATAGGGTTGGATGGCGAGATCTTCTGGACGCCCTAGATGCTCCTAGCAAGGAGCTACAGGAGAAAAGTCAAGTAAGTCACTGGATAACCAACCACAGTGGAAATTACAAAACGTTACACAGTATGTTTTCAAAATGTTATACAAGTAATATGGAATATTAATGCACTGTGTTTGAAGGTATTTCGATTTTTGATTCTAGACCCAGTAATCAATAGTTATGCTACCGGGACAGTTTTATTAAATGCCTTCTAGTACATACAATGAAAAAGATTTGTTACTAAAAGTATCACAAACAATATCTTCGCCCGGTGACAAAATAGAAAGGGTCGAGAATTTCGCCATTCCCATTTTATGGTATATAAAAGCTGTTGATTAAGTCTTGGATAGTGCGGAATAAACTGTACTACTTTATAAAGTATTTTTCCGTAATCAACTATAGTAATTCATATTTACCTAACGCTTCTCTAAGAGAGAAAATGAAATATCGATGTTAGATTAAATTTGTTTTGCGAAATTTACCTGAAATTAAGTTTAAATTCAAAACAAGAGGTTTTAATTTAGTTTTTATCTCACAAACATACTATTAATCTAATTACCTGATTAAATAAAATCCAATTTCACTATACAAAAAAAATTGTCATTACATGTACAATATTGCGAAGTTATAAGAGTAAGTTTTACTATGCTATGTTATATGAACATTAAAAACCTGTTTGATATAAAGCGTTAAGCATTACAAAAGTCCTAGAACCCTAGTTTTCGATTTGTCAAGAAAAGAATAAGGAATTCTTGGAACAGTGATGTGAAGAACAAGAGACTTGGAGGTAATAGAGGAGAAAAGGGATATGGGGAGATAAAAGGGGGACAATGGGGGGCAAAGGGGACTTACTCCTGTATTCATTTCTATGTCTTCTCATCGTGTACTTTACAACCTGCCTTTTAATCTGAGACACTCGATCCGTCGTATTGTTCTCTCAAAAAGAGGAGTTTATGCAGTTTTCTTTATACGACACGAAATACTTCCAATGCTACCACAGTATAATGTGATTCTAGCGCAGCGTTGAAAAATATTGGAGGTAAAACTTGGATATCCAAATCAATATTTTTTACGATAAATGTGGAAGCAAAACCATCGCTATTTTGCTGTTGTGTCAATATTTGACATATCTAATTTTGGTATTTTTACAGCTTTATTTTACACAAAATACACATAGAGTATTAACAAGATAATTTTAAACGTGATGAATTCATTATGTATAACAATAGCCGACGGCAATTCTCCTGAATGACCATATTATTGCTGGTAAATTAGCTTGTATGCAACAAAACATTATACACGTATAATGAGCCAATTATGATATCTATACTGTTTCAGTCACTACACATTGATATTCCAATGGGTTTGCATTGTTTTCACAAAGTATTGGACATTGGTTATCAAACATCGATACTTTGATGTCGAACTGAACAATACTTGACGTTGATCTCGTGTTTAGTTAAATGCGATGCATAACCTATTAATATACATTCAAATAGTCTATTATAGGAAATATGGTAATTAAGGACACACGCGAAAGGAATGATACACTTTAACTAAACATAGCTTATTGAAACATGAGTATTTTTTTTATATAATGTGTCGGAGCTTCTAAAGAATAATACTAAATCAATAGAATAGTTCAATAGACTAAACGGCTATCAATTTAAAAGTTTTGCAAATATGTCCATTAATAGAAATATAAACAAACAAGATTTTTATTCTAACTGTTGTTTAAGCTGGGTCATGTTACCTATTTAAATTTTATAATTCCTCATCCAATATGAACTAATTGCTGATTCGTTTTTGTGTGTACTTCATTAATGATGGTTCGTGGTGAAAGTTAACATTAGTAATTTGAACAGTTAATGTTTGTATATTAGTTTTTTATGCACTATTAAGTAAGGTTAATTCAGCTTAATATTGTTACTTAATTTAACTGCGTGATATGGATGTTACTTATATTTCGCTAACTGTTTTAATCAACGAAAAAAAGTAAATGTGTTTTTTTTACTACGAAATGATTTAAAACACTACCAGAGTAAATAACTTTTAAAACAGGGTTAAATCTACATCTACAACAATTAAATCAACTAGAGTTTGTTCACTTACCCAATGAGGTATCGTAGGCACATATGTATTCAGAAGTGGTGAACTGGTATGTAAGGGCTGTTTTACCAACCGCGGTCCCGCCCAGCATCGCCACCTTAAACGTGGAAGTGACTGGTTCATCCTCCGTTAGTGAGGTGCTGTTCTGGGACGCGTTACTGGAACATAAATTAATAAATTGTTTATATTTATATTATAAATCATATAATTCTAATCATAGTGTGTGTAAATAAAACTCATCACTTTTGGGCAATATACACTTACAACTAGCTGTACCCGCGGGCTTTGCCCCGTTTAACTTCACAAGTGAGCTCGTTCGCATGGCTCAATCACGTCCTGGTTGAAGTTCGTTCGCTACGCTCACTCACCTTTTGGTTGCAAATTGGCTGTTCTGTACGTAGAAGAAGACAGGATATACATATCCACATATGTATATCCTGCATATCCACATCCATTGTTATGTAAAGTACTAAATATAACTTATAAGTTAGATATTAAATATGTATTCACTAAATTATAATTTCCCTTGAAGTTTATGATTAATAAAATATTCACAGAAGCACTCACGCATCCCCTTGTCTAACTTATCGGGTTGTAAAAGGTCATAAGGTGAAGTTCCCGAACTGTTTCAACATGTTACTGAGGGAAAGTTAAGAGAGGTTGTAACTTCTTGCACACATTATGTTTTTTCCCAATATTAATAAAAAAAAATTACATTTTACATTTTATTTTTCTTACATTGAATTAATTTTTGTTTGTTTTAAGGAGTTCTCCTGTATTATAATCTGTATAGTCTACTTTTATACTTCAAAAAGATTGATTATTTTAATTCTATGCATGTAAATCAAGTTAATTTTAAATTAAATGCCATGCCCCGTATTGTGACATCCTATAAAGTGGGTATGATAAGAATCTTGTTTTTACTAATAATACACACATTAATGACACTGTTCATTGACCAAAACTCAAGGTTCACTTTAGGGAATTCGTGTCTTGAAAAAAATGTTCTTATTATTTTGTTAAATGGTAACAGTTTCGTTTTACAGTTTCAAACCACCAACTTTCAATCTGAAGGCGAACACTTTCCTCTGAAACCTAGCCTATTTATGAACCGTTAGCTGCAGTCTACATCAAGGCCTAACCGTATCTCCGATATGCTATTTTCCTAGCCAAAGTCTCACTTGGTATGCTAAACCTGCTAATTTATATTCAATCGCTTAATCCCCTAGCCTAAACAGTTGTGGTTTAAAGTGATTATAGACAACTTTATAACTTGATGCTTGGTTAAGGTGTGGTCAGTGCACTGTGTCTGTGTGGCAGCTGACGTTGCTAGGCAACCATCCCCCTCCTATAACCCCCCACCCACCACCCCACTCCATAACATCATCGTGGTAATCGTGTCTGTATTGTTTGGCTCTGATATTCTGATCTCTGCTCTGGAATTTTTCTCTTTACCATCTTAGAGAGGCGTGATGGAATGAAATGCAAGAGGTGAACATTTTTTGGATGTAAACATTTATCGATTTTCGATCAAGCCTGTAACGGTTAGTTTATGTTGTTTAGCAAGAAAAAATTCCAAAATTGTTTTGGGAAAGTTTTTAAAAGCATTTAGTGATCTACCTACGCGTCTTGGTCAAGGTTACTTGTTGGTTCCATGGGTTGAATACATTTGTAACGCAAAAAAAACTGTTCATGGAGAATCGTAGAGAATGGAACATTCCTCACATTAGTTCAGCAATCATCAAATGTGTTCTATAGTTGTCCAATGGAAAATACAAATAATGATCCGATTTCGTACGACTAAGTCACCTTGTGTGTTTAACTCATCGAGGCCAATAAGTTAGCTCAAGGTATGCTACTTCAACTTCTTGAGATATCCAATCCACTATTGTAGCTTACAATTCTGTGGTGATCACCACGGATTAAATTTTTGTACCGTTTGAGAAATCGTTGCATGAGTATTTTGCTGGAATACAAATTAATAATTTAAATCCACACGATTAAAAAAAAAAAAATATTTGGGGACATAATAATTCTGCAAAGAAATATAATTGTTGTGGTTGCAAATTACTTAATCTCATGATATATTACGAAAAGATAATATAGTAAGAAGACTATCATAATTTCAGGGATAAAATAATACCTCAATGACTCTAAGACTTCATTGCGATCACTATAACCACTCGGATATCCAGACAATTTACCCATTGAAGAGACCTCTATTACGATGAATATAAAATCCTATTAAATATGCTACGTAGACAGAGTGGACTCTGTTAAACTAAAAAAAAAAAAAAAAAAAAAAATACCGTGATGTTTTTCTATTATATTGTAATTTTTATTACAAATTTTGTCGATAAAATATTTGATTAGATTTCAAGTAAACAAAAAACCCTTATAAAAAAGTTCATGTAATTTTAAGGTCTTTAAACTGATTTCCTTAAGTCTGTCGTGTTAATTAGAGGAAAACCGTTAACTGATCACTATAGCCAGAGATTCGTGTATTGTTTGGTCATTTAAAAATTGAAACCATTTAGCAGTTGGTAATTTGTCATTGGGTTTTATCAGATTTCAAGCGGTGACAGGAGTAACGAATGGAACGCCACTCTATCATTTTTCACTTCTTGTTTCTATGGAGCATAGTGAGCCTTTACAGCAAGTTTCCTTTTATCGCTGAAAAAGGTGTATTGACGACAATTAATGAATAATTATGGTGCAGACATTATAATTGTGTTTTTAGTCAGTTGTTGCTTAAATGATTGACGTATAAATCTCTGTTACTATATAAGAATGTTAGACTATATTTGAAACGATTACATATACCTTGCCAAAATGTTTAGTGATGGTAAAAGTGAAGATAAGTGAAGATAAAAAGGGCGCTTGTCTAAAAGTTCATGTGAAGTGACTCTTAATGACATAATGGTAGAAATAAAGCTGATAAAAGTAAACAATGTAGTCTGGATCAAAGATCGAAATACAACTCGTTACTTAGGGTTGAATAACAAATCACAACGTAAAGCTCAACCCTTTATATACTCACTCATAAAACATTAAAACATGAACTCTAGGACGTTGAATTATCCTGTATATTCATTTAAATATCCAGTAACTCGTGCAGGATACAATGCAGGAGAAGTAATGAAACAGTAATTAAACTTGTCACCCCCAGATGGTCTTGTAATGTCAGTTTTCCCCCCTATTCTCTTTGCCACCTCTCCTCCTCTCCTTCTCTCTACAAAAAACAACATAGCTGGATACCGACCTTTGGTTTACAACCGTATTTTATTTGCAAGACTAAACTTACTTTTCGTAAATTAAATTAGTTTTAGTCGTTAACTTGTATTTTATTTTGATTCTTATTGTTCTCTATTTAAAGAACCAACTGAACTGGTTACAGCATTCTTTTTATTTTAAGGTTATATGACCGTATAGCAGTTAGTGTGTTAAATTATAAAACTTTTATTTGCTTCGTTTACTGTTTTTGCCATTTCTACAAACTTCAATATGTTCTTCAGGTTTATTCTCTTATTTCATTTTCGCTTTCTATCCTCGGCTGATATAATATATGAAAAGCTTTGTTAAAGAAGACAGTATCGTGTGTAAATCCACGTTTTTTATAGAATTGATATATTGAGCTAGTAAATTACTTACGTATCTTCATTTTCTCCCGCCGACCAAATTTGCAATAGTTAGTTTAATTAGTTCTTTAAAAGGATAGTGGAGACAATAATATATTTTATAACAGTATTTTGTAACAGTATATTTTGTCGTCTCGAACTTAAAAACTATCTCGAGCCGGCAAAACCTCATTTTCGGCCCTAGGTACGAACGCTATTTTTCACCACACTATACCCTATTACCACTATTCACCATTATAATAATGCACACTGATAGTCAACACAACTACAACTTTAAGGTTATGTAAAGAAATAATTTGAGGAATCAGCAAAAATAAAAATAAATAGTTGCTAGGCAACGGCGACAATAACACAATTCTATTGCAATGCTATGGATTTTGATTGTGTATTTAAAATGCATTCATGTTTTAAGTAAGTAAGCGGACAGCTGATTTTGCGGCCCCGGCCTGTAAAAACCTGCTCGGTCCCCAAATTTCGATGACAGCTGGCATGGCCAGCAAAACGTAACTTTCAGCCACCAATTAACGTATGTAATTCAGCCAAAAACATCATAGTGTGGTGAAAAATGTTATATCTCGGTAACGAACAGGTAATAATAATATTAGAATAAACATTTGTCTTGTAAGTTAGTTTTTAAGCCAGTTTGAATGCTTAAACGGTTTGTATAGTGTTAAAAAGTACTTATATCTTTTAACTCTGGGTAAAAAATCGTATATTTGGTGTACGATTCTTCAACCCCAGGCCAAGTTAGCATCGGAATGGTTCACGAATTCATTCTTACAAACAGATATTAGTTTGCACTTTTGGCCAAAATCTCTTTTAAATCGGGATTACTGAATGTAAAAGTACATTGGTCTGTACCTAAACATTACCTTGCAGAAGACGATAACACCTTTTTCCCTAAAGGGCTTCAGTGAAAATAAAGTTTTACAAACCCTATAATCATCTATTGCTTTTTGTATTACGTTTGACTTTCTAGAGTTGTAGTAATAATATAATATTATTGAAGTAAAATAGTGAAGTATTGACCATCAAGGTGTTTTTTATGAGCTTTTTACTGTTCTTGGTTATTGTAAAAAAAGGATCTTCAAGCACTTTTATTTTAGAAAATTAATATTGTTAAAAACAATGACATTTTTCTCTAAAGATAAACAAATAAGCAAATCAGTATAAGGCTATTAATTTCCCACCCCATAGCAAGTTCAGAATATGAACCCATTAAAAGTTTCAGGTTCCGATACTCTTTTCGTAAGTGGTTAAACAAACCATAAGCAGTCCAAAGTTGCAGAGAAAAGTTTACGGCGCTCAATCTTCCTACTTTAAAAGAACACTCAGTCTTTTCTTGGCAGATTCTTTATTATTTTATTCGCTAAAAATAGCATGTAAACGTTTGAACGCATAACTTTGTAAACTTTCCTCCGATTCCATGAATAATTTATAACATTATTGTTAAACGTAATGTCTTCAAGATAAATATTTGTCAAGGAAAACGAAGATAGCTGAATGGTTATACAATAAAA